CCCCCAAAAAAAAAAAAAATTATCGGCAGATTTGAGCTGTACTCAGCAAGCGCAGTACACCCCCGAGCTTAGATTTGAAAAAACATCTGCAGATAGCCCTCCACCGGCTGGTCGACAGACCGCCGACCAGTCGGCCCTACTGGTCGGCTGCAAAATGGTTGGTGGTCGGCGTGCGGCGGGTATGTAACCCTGCTGCACACCAAAAAAAGGCAACCTGTCGATGGCGCATTTTCTCTTAATTTTTGCCTGGCTCCGGTACAAGTACAAGATAGGGCCTTGCTCCACTACACCACGCTCTACATGTATCGGGACTGAAATATGAACCAGAAACATGCGGACCAGTCCAACATTTTGAATGTATCCTGACCAATGCCGGTCCAGGTACATTCAAGTTGTTGTGCGGCGGAGCGAGGCCCGTTGTCCAGTTTCATTTCACATCTGATGACAGTTTTCTGCTGCTTAGCTGGTTTATTCGGTTGTCTACCCTTGTAATGTAAAAGAAGAAGAGAAAAGGAGAGATTCTTTCCCCCCCCTCCTCCCCCCCCCCTCCTTTCCTCCTCCTCTTGGCTTTTGAACCCTCATTCTTCAATCTTGTGTTTAGCTGCAGATGAGTTTGGGTGTGGTATAGCCAATGTTCGCTGTCCTTATCGCTCAGCCCCAATTACCAGGGAGTCCTACCTTCTTCCCCCGAATAAAATGTACGGTCATTATAGATGTATTTGAGGCATCTTTCAGTCTAGATACGGCTATAATGACCGTACGTTGTATTCGGGGGAAGAAGGTAGTCCTACCTTCTTCCCCCGAATACAATGTACGGTCATTATAGCTGTATGTATTTGGGGTATAGGTGAGTCTAAATGCATGTATAATGACCGTACGACGTACGTTGTATTCAGGGAAGAAGGTGGATGGGCCAAGAAAGCAAAGCTAAACCCTGAAACCTGTTCGGAGCTTCCATTTTTTTTTTTCTTTTTTTTTTTTTTCGTTTTTTTTTTTTTAAACTTCGCAGGAGGGGTTCACTTGAGGAGGTGGTAAGAGCATCCTCCTCAAGTGGCCCCTCTGATGAAGGCTCCATCTATTGGTGGGGAGCTGCAACTGGTCTGGAAACCGGGTCTTTCAGTGTCCCATATATGACATTACAGAGTTGAGGTTCCATTCTTTTCGAGCGCCCAAAAAAACAAAACAGAAGGCAGAGAATGTCTCTGTCAAACCCAAAGACTGCAACTGGTAGAGTATACATTATTATTCCGCGAGTGATGAACTAAAAAACAGGTACCAAAAACTGAGAGGTCTTTCAAGTCTAAGAGTACGTCGAGTAGGCTAACTTAGGCAGGGGTGAAGGATGGTACATCCTTCCTTGGGAAGTAATCAATGCTGTCTTTCGGGCCTTCCTACCGTAAGGGGGAGGAGGGTGTGTGAGTACCCATTGTAATCATTTCTGACTTGCCGGTGGAATAGGAACCGCACTGATGCTCCCCAGAATGGAAAAGCAGCCAGAACTGTAAGGT